CGGTGTAATCGCTCAGTACGCTTTGGATATCTGGGATAGCCAAGAAGAATCGCATCCGAATCGAAGTCGAAAGCAGACATAAACACATCAATAGGAGGGCAAGACTGAACACCTGTACGCGGTGTCCTCTAAGAATCTGGGAGTGAAATATTCTCCTAGAGCCGAGTTCAGTCAAACTTCGCAATCCAGAATAAGTTGGCCCACGAGGCAATGATTCAAAATACTCCATCATATCAATCTTTCACTCCCAACGAAATCGATTCCTACCTTAGCCTCATCAAGTTTACAAGTACGACCTAGTACATCCTCATTCCAATGACCACACCTCTTTTCGACTTTCTCTGGCCCTAGCTGGTCGCCAGATACACGCCCACGTCGATATTTACAACCGACGGAGGAAGTAAAGCGTGGCGCACAAATCTGGAAGACAATTCCTTGGGATGGATGTGAGAGGGATCAGGACAAGTTGATAAGATGATGCAGAGGATTGGATACAGTCTCGACGGGCGTGGAATTTTGAGTTTTGGAAAGGAGTTTTTACAAATTGAGCTTTGTGCGTGCCAAGACTTCGGTTGCAAGAGTGCAGGCGGCACTATGAACACCGCCATGGTTGGATGGTGCGGTGGTACATCGTCTTGGCCGGTCTGCCAAGTAGAGTCTGGATAGCTTGGACACATATCCCACTTGAGACAGTAGATCGCTGGTTCAAATCCGGCAAAACACAACCACTCTTCTCGCGGCGCTGGTATGCACGGATGACGAAGGCATGCTTGGATAACCAAAGGTTTTTAATTTCCCTTTGGTGGGTACTTACGGAGGAGGGTCGACTGTTTTTGTAAGCAAACATACCTCATAGTGGTATTTGCAAATGAAATCCAGAGTATGAGTGTCTCTAACATCAAAAGAGTCATCCAACATGTATACATAGCACCGGTCATGTGTCATAGCTAGATAGCTGAATACATATTAAATGACTCCAAAAAAAAAAACACATCAATAATCGACGACCTCTGATTGATATCGGTCTTGTGATCCTCACACGATTCCTCTAACTTTATCTCAATACACACCTCGCCTTAAAGGCCGATAAAGGAGTTACTCAAGTCGTAGGCAGGACCTTGCTTTATGAATTACCGGCCAACGACCTTTGACATACCAACGAAGCTACATATACCCACAAAGAGGAGGTTAAGTAATGATCTAGAAGGCTCGGGTCATGGCTTATATGTGACAGTTGGTCTAACGGGATTACATAACTCAAGGACGGGCAACCGGTAGGTGGAATAAGGGAGGGAATATGAGAGGGAAGAGGTCTCTCGTTGGCATGCTGCGACTTAAATATATGGGAAGCCTTTGGCTATGGAATGTATGTCAGCGCTAAGAATACGGTTTCGGAAAATTGGCCAGTAGCACATTTATCGTCGATGAGCCTACGGTTCTCCCAAGTTTCCTAGACGGCACAAAGAAGTTGGGCTAAGCTACCATACAGTAATCACGCTCTGCCAACACTTTTCTTGCATTTCTGCGAGACCTTCGGGAAAAAATTGGAGGGAGGCTAGAAAGTCATCGAGTGTCTTTCTGGAGATACCGACAAGTCTGCAGCGCACAGCTGGCCGGCCTCTTCGAACGCTTCAGAAGGGGCACTATGTCTTCGGATCTAGTCCTAATCTCAGTATTAGGAGAGCTCCGCACCCAGTGGTTTTGGTAAATTTTCCCGGCTGCCATACACCCGCGAGTGGCCATCGTTTGGTTGGCTGGAGATAGAAGATAATGAAGAGCAAAGGGCTCCTCCAAGTGTATGATTGGATGAGGACTTGTAAGGGGTAGCACTATTTGAGGGGAGATCTATAGGAAGCACAAGGGGAGATATACCATTAGCATAGTTATCCTTGGCCTGTAGGCAGATGGGACCTGCAGGTCCTATATAGTCATAGAATGTGAAGAGACAACACCATGATAAAGAACCCTTTCGAAGTAATAGTGCAAGGCGTAAATCTTTTTCAAAGTATTTTTCAAGTTCTAGGCCATGCCTGTAACATCTCCCAAGTGGCAAATTCTCCCCGCCACTGAGAGCAAAAGATGAGTGTGAGTGCTAAGCTCGGATTCATGAAAAGTATATTAGGAGATAATGATGGTTACTTTGACATTTATGCCATCTCACACAGGCGGATCAATGAAACGCCATTTCGTCCCGAGTTATTTGATGCTATGTGGCTGTGCGTCCAGCCGACGCGACCTGTAAAACTGCCGGGCTCCGGCGGAAGGAGGCTTAAGTTACCTCGGACAGGACTATATTTCAGATCATGTTATCATTGGCTGGGAAAGCGGGGCATCCCAGGTATTTAGATCCGTAAGCTAAGGAGCCCTTATCCTATTTTAGACTAGTGAAGTGAAATCAAGTTTGAAGTTAGACACTTCAGTTGAGGGGAAGTGGCGGCCCGGACCGATATGAAGGCCGTGCACTGGGTTTGATCCCGCCCTGTTGAAACAAAGAGTCCTTCATCAAAAAAGATAAGTATGCTCAAAGATCGATATATGACTTTGTTTTTGTATTTTATTTATCTCTTTCAGTCAACCTACGCCTACCCAGATGTCTGCAGCTAACACATTAACGAAGGAGGAAATCAGATTGGTGACATCTGACTTGTCTTGTATCTTTGAGTTTTAAGGGTTTTCTTCACGAAGTGCACTTCAAATTTTCATGCAGTGTGAATCTTATCCCGTCTACTACTTTTTTGATCCGTTCTTTGATCAACAAGAATAATTTGTCTGTGTGTCGTGCGATAAGTAAGTCCGAATCTAGGATCTTTTGTGGCTCATTGGCTAAATACTATTACGATTGAACGCGTTTCAGGGTGAGTTGAGAGGCGCAAAACGTTACTACCATATGATATTAGTCAATACACTTTACTGTTTGAGTGTATCGCGAGGAATAAGAATAGTATACCAAGCTGCTTGTGTTTGAGCAACCAACTTTAATCCAAAAATGTAATCTATCATTTTTGCTAGAAACGACTCAGCTAGACTTATTTTACTTTCCCTAAAATTTTGTTTAAGCAAAAATATGTATAGAAAATGGATCGTAACATAAAAAAGTAAAAAATATCTAGTGGTAGGCTTGATCGATGCAAGGTTTTCGCAGCCTTTGAAAATGTGCCGTCACAATGAGATTCTTTTGATACCCCTACGATGACAAGAGGTCTGTCGACCTAAATTTATTAACGGTGGAGCTTATATTTGCCTGGGTTAATAGCCATCATCTCTTGTTTCTGATGGTCCTTGCCGACTAGTACATCCTTTATATCTTCACATAGGAATGAACACATAAAAGAGCCGTCGGTCGAACATGGTATCCACTCTTCAATCCACCAGACACGAGTCATTGGTGTATATTAATGCGCGAGAAAGAAATTCTCGATAAATTATACACGCGGCACTTATCTGGAAACTAACCCATAGGGCAGAGTAAACTTAATAATGAGCGTGCATGTCCTTCGGTATCGCTTGATCTCATTTGCCCCTCATCTCGAAAATTGACTCGTGCAGAACAATGGTAGTTGTAGGTGGTGAGAGTATCAGTTGAAAGTGCTCGACGTGATAAAACTCGTGAAAATTCAACGACATAATTCTCATCACAAGTCTCAACGATAATTAATTCACCTAAAGCATTAGTTATTAAAATTTGACCTTCCCATCAAATAAAGTGAGTTATGATCGATTAAAATTATGTAAGTATACTAAACTTTGCTAACGTCTAGCTTCCTGGACAACGGATGCTACATTCTATGTAAAGATTGTTCCAGATGTAATCACACCGTTTTGTATAATGGCCATTCAATCATCGATCGTAGATTTTGGCTTTAGCTTGGGATTTAGCGTAGTAATTGTTGGATTTTGATCTCTAGTGTGATAGATATTGAGCCAACTTCATCCTTACAGTGCAAGTGCGATGACCTTGGCTTTTCATACCTTGTAAGAAGAGTTATTGATTATTCGAAGACCTAGCCAGCAGGAGTCCATTCCTCGTCCGTTGTATCCTGAGGCTAACCCAACACGAATGCCTGGTTTCTACATCTGAAGGGTAGCTCTACTTTTTTAGAAACTCGATATCTTAGCTGTCTGGATCCTGATGGACAGATAGAAAGTTTACTGGCGACTCATCTGAGGACTAACGCGTGTTTGCCGTAGTTCACGAGCCTAAACCACGGCCGAGGCGGTATCCTTCGTCTGTAGAGAGAAGGAGTAACCCCCAATTTGAAAGAAAAAGAAAAGTTTTATTTTAATAGTCTGTCCTACATAGTTGTAAACTCAAATAGGACATAAATGGATAATTGACTGGAGAGAAGTACAAGTTTTACAAAGGTTCAGACAAAGTCAGGAGCATGAAGTTGCAATTTAGCTCAAATCCGTAGGTATAATAGGTAGATAGTGTCTAACTACGGCATACTGAGTCATAATAAACGATCTGTGGAGGCTTCAACTGGACTTAGGAGTATTGCTTTCCTATACTACTGCTACTATCCCTACCTATTGCCTGTCCATAAATAATATATCGTGTGTGAGCTAGCCCCACCCCGTAGAGCAGAAGAAGTCTTTGTCTGCATGATTTTTAGACATCCTGAACTAGAAATTTTAACTAGTCATAGAGCCAGATAGCAAGAATCCGCAGCGGAATCTAGACTTTTCGGCTTAAATGTTGCACCATCGTGTCTACTCCGTCTCTTGGCGGTGATATACTTTACTAATACTAGTCTAGATGACTAATCATCAAATTCGTCGCTGGAGGACTAGGATATCCGCATCCCGCACAGACAAGGCGATACCAGGGTGAGGGGTTCTTATCGACTATTTCCGAATAATTCCAAGTGGAGCCTTTTCTTTCACCTTTCTCTTCCTTTCCTATCGTACCTTAACATTCATCTAATTATCTGATTCTACCATTTCTTGGTCAGGACTGCTTTTCCATCTTTCACTTCCAATCAGACTTTTTCGGAGAGATTATGTCTGAACTCACTCACCCCACTATCAAGGGTATGTATTTTATGGTATCCGTCCCAGGAGAGATGATTCTGCATTCAGTCACTATTCTATTTTATGATAAACTTAAAGTTCTAGTTGCAGTGTAAATGAATTGCTCTAACAGCTAACGTGGCGGTAGATGGATGGTTCAGAGAGATATCCGATATGTGGCCCGGGCAAGCTATGACTTTGAAAGTCAAGAATATTATCCATCACGAGAAGAGCAAGTACCAGGACGTCTTAATATTTGAATCAACTGATTATGGGACGGTGTTGGTGCTCGACAATGTCATTCAGTGCACCGAAAGAGATGAATTCGCCTATCAAGAAATGATCACCCATCTTGCCATGAACTCACACCCAGATCCCAAGAAAGTTTTAGTCATTGGAGGAGGTGATGGTGGTGTTCTTCGTGAAGTTATAAAGCATGACTCTGTCGAATCGGCTATCCTTTGTGACATTGACGAGGTATTTATCAATTCAATTTAACTCTCGGGAAAACTGAACTTTATAGGCTGTCATCCGCCTCTCCAAAAAGTATCTTCCGGGCATGGCTATTGGTTATCAGCATCCAAAGGTTCAGGTCAATATTGAAGACGGTTTTAAATTCTTGGAGAGTCGACAAAATGAGTTTGACGTTATCATAACCGATTCATCCGACCCAGAGGGACCAGCAGAAAGCTTGTTCCAAAAGCCATATTTTGAACTTCTCTTCGGCGCCCTCAAAGAAGGCGGCGTTATTTCCACACAAGGTTGTACGTTTTTCCTTGCAAGCCTCACGAATTCTACTTGCTAGTAACAGCTCTTGGCACACTATCCAATATTACATATATTTTGCAATCATTCTATATCTAAATTGTCTAGTCAATCTTGCTCTGATTACAAACCCTATCTTCAGGAAGCTAAATATTTGCTGACTCTTCTTAGCTGAAAACCAATGGCTTCATCTCCCCCTGATCACTAAACTAAAAAAAGACTGCAAGGAAGTCTTCCCAAACGTGGAATATGCATACACCACCATCCCTACATACCCCTCTGGCCAGATCGGATTCATGGTCTGCTGCAAGGATGCAGAGAGAAACCTCAAAACGCCCCTCAGATCCTTTAGTGCTGAAGATGAAGAAAAATTACTCCGCTACTATAACTCCGACATCCACAAAGCTAGTTTCATTCTCCCAACTTTTGCACGCACTGCTTTAAAGTAGAAGAAAGGATAGATAATTGTATAGCAGTGGCAAATGGCATGGATAGAGCGTCAATGGCAATGAAATGGCTCCCACAAGGCTTTCTACCTGAAGTTGTTAATAAGCCAGGAGAGATATTTTGTTCGATGGCATAGAGCCTTTGAGTTACTGCATGAAATTGACGTCGCTTGTTGCGCTTGGCGGGCGATAAGTGCTATGAGAGTAACAAAAATTTCTACTGAATCACAAAGATGGCGCAGGCTAGTGCTTTTAGACAAATTAGAGGGTATTTAGTAAGAATAAAGGACAACATTATTCTAGGATAGGCAAGGATATTTCTATGGTAAAACCCCGCAAATTAGGGGCTGAGTTGCCCACGTGTGCTCTGCTCACAAGGATACAACAGACTGTGAATCCACGAGAGCTAGCTGTCCCCCTCACATCCCTCGAAAATAAAAAGCCCTGGGCATACTGAAAAAGATACCTGAATATAGGTTTGAAGTGTACTTATCAAACAGAATCTTGAACTTTTCTTATCTATTCCGTTTTATCTCTAACCCCCCTTTAAATATTTTTTTTGCACAGATTTTAATTGCGTATGCAGCTTTCTAGCTATGACACAATATCAAAGAAAAGTACAGAATAGATGATTCAACGTAAGGGAAGAGCACTCATGCCTCGGATTTCATTTGCAAGTACCACTGCGAAGTTATCGTGGCTTTTTCTTCTCCCCAAGTCAACCCTCATCCGTGAATACCCACCCAGGGGAACGTCTCAAAAACCCTGAGTTATCCAGACATGCCTCCGTCATCCATCAACTTTTCTCCGCGCGAAATGTAATCTGAGATGTCTCCTTCCCAGGTGGAGTAGGTGCCCAGACTACTCAAACTATACCAGAGAACATCACCACCTTTAAATCGGAATCATGGAATAGGTTTCTCAAAGTCAATCATATGGTTGACTTTGGTGAAGGCAGAAAAATTTCTTGAATATCTAGGCAATAAACCAGACAAGAGGCTTACTCGTTGTGAGAGAATTTTATTTGACTTGTCGTGGGTGAAACGTTTGTTGCGACGGTTTGCGTCGTTGGATAGGACATAAAGGTCTAGTTGAGGATGTTTTAGATTCAGGGCTGTACAGAGTTGGGAGAACTAGAAAAAAAAGAGTTGGGAGAAGTCATTTCTTCGCTTGCTTTGGCCCGTTTCTACAAAACTTAATTGACCACACTTGCCTTCTTGACTGGATATAGTCATTTTCACAGTGTTATTTGTAGAGTTATTGTGAGTGTTTAAATGTAATTGTTCCTATACACTGATGCACCTGGTGAACCAGTAATGGTGATCCCAACATTAAATCAAGGAAACCCCAAATTAGAATGAAAAAGAAAGTTGTATTTAAATAGCTGTCCTTCATAGTTAAAACCTCAAATAGGACATAAATAGATTATTCTTATACACTGATGCAAATATGCAAAATCAAAGTGTAGTTACCAAACACAAACTGCGTTTCAGGAATGAGAAGCTTAGAGATATGTTAAAAGAAGAAGCAGCTATCTGGTCATAGGGCGTCGGCAGGCTCAGAATACTGGAAAACGCTAAACATTATCACCGATAAGTGAATAGGCAGAAAAAGAATTGCCCTAAAGGTACTACCTCTAATATCAACCGAAACCTTGGCAGTATCGTAGTTCCACTACAAGTGAGCACATCGGCCTTAACTCTTGACTGTACCGGGCAAAGATCCCCGGAGTGGCTAGTCCAGAATGCCAGTGTGGATACCCGCCATAGAACATCAAACAAAGGGTCTTGACAAATTGTCAATTGGCTAGCTGTTGTGTGAGATTGACACTTTCGCCACACTCATCTGGCATTGTAGGGCTGTTTCCGTAATCAGGGGAGAACTTGGGTATAGATAGGGGTCGGAATTCCCGCGTTTTGGTGCAAAAGGATCACGTGCACTTGCACCTCCACATCCATACTTAACTATCAGCAAGATCTCGTCATTAATAGGCCAGCATTATGGCGATATTTCCTAACCCATAAACCTCGTACACGGGGAAGAGGATAAGTGCGGCGACGGGTAAAAGACCTTTCTTTTGAAGCCACGATGAACGGCCTAGATAATGCGAAGTAATTAGCAAAGTGGATACGCATTGGCAGCTTCGAACAGTTTCAACTTGCTGTAGTGAATGAAAAGACGGGGCTATGGGGAGCCGGATTTGACTGAGTGCATGGTCGGATAGCGCCAACGCAATTCCCGAAGGAAAGTCTGGAAAACCAACAGGCATAAGGTTGGTAGGATTAAGGATTTTTACCAGATTTGTTCCCTGACTCGTAATTATTATAGCTATATGTACGTATGTATATGTTTATTGTCCTATAAAGTCTATGACTATGATGGACATGTAGGTCCTTTCTGCCTATAGGCCGGAAATATCTATGCCTTGACTAGTGTACTCCCTCCTATGCCTCCTTCACGACTTCTTTCTAGCAGTAATACCCCCGCAGGTCTGTATTCGAGTATGCACCAAGAAGAGCCGTTATCACGTCATTATCTCCTCTCTCCAGCCGACAAAATGATGGAAATTTGCGAGAGTATAGCTGTAAATATGTAATTGATAACCTTAAGCTTAACTTGGTGGGGCTCCCTCATTCGGAATGGCGTAAGGGAAAAATCAATGAATGTGTACATAGTCTCTTATAATATATAGAAGAGAAGAGGAATCACCCGAGAACTATCTATATCGTAGCAACAAGCTTGTGATTATAAAATTCCGTAGGAGTATTCCGATAGTAGTTGCAAGGAAAAGTCTCAAAAACCACTGAGTGCGGGGCTCTCTTATTACGAAGGGGCGGGCCAACCAGGCGCAGCAGACGTTGTATACCTAGGAGCGTCTCTCAACCTTCCTAGACTCCTCACCTGATTCATGCCGCAGGATGATCCGAAGGTCGTGAAAGGATGTCAGAAATGTCCTGGTCGAGAGTGACTGCCGTGAAGGAGCCTAGCCTAGCCTAGCATCCAAAAGCCGTTACGGACGTGGGGTTGCCGAGTAACTCATTTATTTCAGATGCCCTCCTTGCTGGTAGATTCAGATTGAAGGTTAGAAGGGAAGATGTTAGTGACGAGTCGAAATCTGCTTTTCTGGAGGGGGTTTTCGTCCCATCAGTAGGTCCAGATCTTCGTACGTGTCCGATCTGTTCTTTTACCACCAATCTTCCGCGAGTCTCTGTACGCGGATCGTGACTTGGCGGTTCATTGCTGCACAAGTCAGGACTTCATGAGATTCCTCTAAAATGTATTCTGGTCAGAATATTTTCTTCATGATTTTTTGACGCAAGGGCTGCTTTAACCATTGCATTTGCCATTTCGTTTCCTAGCATCTAGCTACGTGCCGAAATCCAGCAGACCTCTATTGCTGGTCGGGTCTTGCGTAACTCACAGAAATTCATTGCCTCTACTTCTGAGGATTTATTTCCACCGCTTGCAAGGGCTTCAACTGCCTCTTGGTTGTCTAGGGGCATCTTCACACCTGTACTGCCTCCATTTTAAAACGCCACCTCTAAGCCTCGGGATGTCCCGGCAATTTAAGCGTCAGAAACCTCTGCTCCTGGGAGAAAATTTCCGCCACCTGCTGTAGGTTCTCCATCATTGTGTATGACATAGCCGTAGGCTGAGTATGCTGGACCGCTCGATGACCCATCAGAGTAAACACACAGCGTCCCTGCGGAAATATTTCTTAGCCACACCTTAATATGCTTCGCCTTTTCCTCCCTGTAACATTTGGCCCTGGCAGTAGACATCGCGATCCTCGGTTGATGAAGCTACCCAGGCCCTTTCGATGCCAGTAGGTTGCGGTTCCCGTTCTGTAAACGTATTAGATATCGCACCGGTACCCTAAAGATACACTTTCTTTGCCCCTCCTGCAGTTTACGTCGTTTAATAGCTTCTTTTGGTGTCTCAAATTCCCTTGATGCCTGTGGATGATAGCTATCGAGTCGGCGAATTCTGGCTGCACTTCGGCGCTGTCGCTACAGCAGCTTAACGGCCGCAGGCAAAATTCATGATTCTCTATGAAGAGCTATGTCTTGGAAAATGTAGTCTATGCGAAATTATATCGATATAAGATTACGAAGTCAAGATTTGATATTTAACATCTGTGGGAACATTAGACTTATATACACATCTAAGGGAGAAATCCCCATTAGTCTTGTGTACCTGTCAAACTTAGTTATGAATAGCTAGCTCCCATCTTCCATGTTGAGTCAATGTACACTGCAGTGCGTAATTATCAAAACGTATATGCGACAGTAAATGTGATTAGCGCACTCGACATTCAGAGATATTCGATCTTGTCGGTAACCTCAGACAAAACAGATAAAGAGTGAGTCCTGAGTCTGAGAGCCAGAATTTCCAACACTATATTTGGTGTAGTTTGCCACATGTGAGTTGCAGCTCAAACTACAGTCAAAATTGTCCCGTCAAATAGTTTAAGGTTCCATCTGACCCCAGGATTTACTTTCCTACAGCGTATCTTCGTGATACAAATGAGCCCTGGCCACCAAGTCTCGGCGCCATAGACTGCAGTGCTGACTACTCATGTATTCACCGCACGTATATGTGGTCCCAGAGCTGCACCTCGCTGGACATTGCTTACGCTGCGTAAGATTGCGATAAAAGTTGTGCCTTACTACACCATTCCCGAACATGCTGCTTGAATTTTGTCCGTCGAGTTAAATTCCGAGCCATCGAATATATGGAGAGGGCGTAATCAGCTGATCACCAGCTTTTACCTTTTTTTTTTTGCATCAGATTTTAATTGCGTATGCAGCTATCTAGCTATGACACAATATCAAAGAAAAGTACAGAATAGATGATTCAACGTAAGGGAAGAGCACTCATGCCTCGGATTTCATTTGCAAGTACCACTGCGAAGTTATGGTGGCTTTTTCTTCTCCCCAAGTAAACCCTCATCCGTGAATACCCACCCAGGGGAACGTCTCAAAAACCCTGAGTTATCCAGA